TCGGGCAGTGATTCATTCTGCTGTGCATAAGGTCGCTATGAGTTGGCACCGATTCAATGGCACCTAACAACAACAACAACAACAACAACAATGAATCAGAAACAACTTTATGGCACCAAGCAACAATAATGACTAAAGATGGTTGAGCGTCCTTTCCTGTGTATATTCGTATATTTTCTTAGGAAAAGTTTATTCAAGTCCTTTGCCTATTTTTAAATTGAGTTTTTTTGGTTTTTTTTTTTAATTATTATTAAATATATCCTGCATATAAGTACCTTATCAGGTGTATGAGGGCTGGGGATTCAAAAAGTTTGTGGAAAATGGAATTAAAAAATAGTGGAACTGTTCCATAAACTTCTTGAAGCCCCCCTCATTTAATTTGAAAATATTTTCTCCTATTCTGTGAGATGACTTTTCACTCTCTGCAGAGTACACTTTGAAGCACACAAATTTGGCTTGTGTTGCTATGATGTGGGGAGCTATGCCATCAGTACTTTGAATACCAGCAGGGTCACCCATGGTGGATGGTTTTAGTGGTGTTTCCAGACCAAGACAGACAGGAGTTGGGCCACTTTTAAATTGTTAGCCACTGGAAACCCTATGAATAATGGTGAAGCATTGTCTGAGATAGCATCAGAAGATGAACCCCTCAGGTTGAAAGACACTCGAAATATGACTGGGTAAGTAAGAGCTGTCTTCTCGAAGCAGAGTTGACCCTGATGACATGGATGGAGCAAAGCTTTAAGAATCTTCATTTGCTGATGGGACACAACTCAAAATGAGAAAAATCAGATGCAAACATCCACAATAACCAGAACCTGGAATATACAAAGTATGATGAATCAAGAAAATTGGAAGTTGTCAAAAATGAAACGGAACCCTTAAAGAGTGATATCCTAGGCATTAGTGAACCAAAATGGACTGATACTGGCCATTTTGAATCAAGCAGTCATATGGCTTCCTATACAGGGAGACAGATTCAAGAGGAATGGCGTCCCCTTCATCATCAAAAAGATCATCTCATGATTTATGTTGTAGTGCTGTCTGTGACAGGATAATATCCATATGCCTACAAGGAAGACCAGAGTCCTGGTGGGCGCTGTAGGATAATGCACTGGACCACAAGGTCGGCTTAAACAATGAGCTCAGCGGTTCAAGTTAAGCACTTAACAACAATGACAACAAAATGGAAGACCAGTTAATATCGATATTACTCAGGTTTATGCACCAATCACTAAAATCAATGATGAAGAAATTGAAGACTTCTACCAACTTCTTCAGTCAGAAATTGGTCAAATGTTCAGTCGACCTGTATTGATAATTGCTGGTGATAGGAATGCAAAAGTTGGAAACCAAGTCATACTTTCACTAGTTGGAAAATATGACTTTGGTGATAGAAATGCTGCTGCTGGAGAACACAAGATAAAAATTTGCAAGACCAATGACTTCCTCATTGCAAATACCTTTTTTCAACCACATAAATGGTGACTATACACCTGAACCTCACCAGATGGAATGCTCAGGAACCAAATTGGCTACATCTGTGAGAAGAGACAATGGAGAAGTTCAATATCGTTAGCCAAGACAAGGCCAGGGGCTGGCTGTGGAACAGATCATCAAATTCTCATATGCAAGTTCAGGCTAAAGCTGAAGAAAATTAAAACAAGTCCATGAAAGTCTAACTAAGAATACATCTAACTACCTGGCCAACTGACTGAAAGAAATCCATATTTGTGCCCATTGCAAAGAGAGGTGACCCAACAGAAGAATACAGAAATCCTCAGACAGTATCAGTAATATCACATGCAAGTAAAATTTTGCTGAAGATAATTTAAAAACGGCTGCAACCATACAGCAATAGGAACTTTCAGGCCAGATTCAGATTAGGACCTGGAAAGAGGGTTATCATTGCTGACATCAGATGGAACTTGGCTGAAAGTAGAGAATAACAGAAAGATGATTATCTGCGCTTTATTGACTACACAAGGATTTTGATTGTGTGGATCAACACATAAGGTATGAACAATATTGTGGAGAATGAGTATTCCAGAACACTTAATTGTGCTCATGAGGAACCTATTCATAGACCAAGAGGCAGTCATTCAAATAGAACAAGGGGGCACTGAATAGTTTAAAATTAGGAAAGTTGTGTGTCAGGGTTGTGTTCTTTCACCATACTTATCAATCTGTATGTTGAATAGATAATCTGAGAAGTTAAATTATATGAAGAATAATGACCATGGCATCAGGATTGGAAGAAGACTCATTAACAACCTATAATATGCAGATGATGCAACCTTGTTTGCTGAAAGCAAAGAGGACTTAAAATACTTACTGATGAACATCAAAGACCACAGCCTTCAGTATGGGTTGCACCTTAATGTAAAGAAAACAAAAATCCTCACCACTGGATCAATAAACAACATCCTGATAAATGAAGAAAAGTTTGAGTTCATTTTTCTTGGATCCACCATCAACACTCATGGAAGCAGCAGTCAAGAAATGAAACAATGTATTGCATTAGGCAAATCTTCTGCACAAGAGGTCTTTAAAGTGTTCAAAATTAAAGGTGTCAGTGTGATGACTAAGGTGCGCCTGACACAAGCATGGTAGTTTTCATGTCTCATGTAAATGTGAAAGTTGGACAATGAATGAGCAAGACCCTAGAAGAATTGATGCATCTGAGAATATTAACAGTACCGTGGACTGCCAGAAGAACAAACAAACCTGTGTTGGAAAGAAGTACAGTCAGAGTGCTCCTTAGAAGTCTGGATGGCAATACTTCAGACATGTTATCAGGAGGGACCAGTCCCCAGAGAAGGGCATCATGCTTGATAAAGTAGAGGGTCAGCAAAAAAAGAGGAGGACTGCCAACAAGATGGATTGGCACAGTGGCAGCGGCAGTGGGCTCCAGCTTAACCGTGAGATTGGTGCAGGACCGGACAGTGTTTTATTCTGTTGTGCATAAGGTCGCTATAAGTCAGAACTGACTTGATGGCCTATAACAACAATAACAGTGTGTGTGTGTGTATACACATGTGCACCGTATGTTGTGTTTATGTGTTTGCACATACATACACACAAACTCATATATCCTGCACAAGCTATTCACAGTGTGTTACAGAAAGTATTCCTGAAAACAAGGTGCTAGGAGCTTGGGCTCAGGTCTAAGTAAGTGCCTCTGTTCTTTCCAATTAAGTCACAAGTGTGACAGGGCTTTAAACGATGCTGTATGATAAGCAGTGGACTGCTAATTGTAAGGTCGGCAGTTCAAACCCACCAGCCGCTCCTCGGAAATCCTGCGCAGTGTTCCTGTGAATCAGAACTGACTCGACACTTAACAAGGCCTACCAAGTGTGACCTTTGATTTCCAGCTGTGTTTTGTTGGGACTGACTTTCTGAGGAGCTATGCAAACTGCAAATAGAAAAAGGCACAGTGAAGCTTACCTGTCATAGAATTTGAAGTGTAAGGAAGGAACGTACTCGTGACCTGGTGATGGGCAGCCTGTGGAATGAGGTTTAAAGTGGGCAGCTGGCTTCTCAGAGAAAGCACAGTGGAGTGCTCTCAGGGGGCTGCCAAGGGCTGAGAGGTTGGGGCCTGGGGTTGCTAAGAGCCAAGAGGAAAAAGTGGGTGTTTATTAAGAGAAGGCAAGGAGCTCTGGTAGCGCTGCTAACCTCAAGGTTGGCAGTTCGAAACTACCAGCCATTCCATGGGAGAAAGATGAGGCTTTCTGCTCCTATAAAGATTTACAGCCTCGGAAACCCTGTGCAGGGTCACTATGAGTCGGACCAGACGCCACGGTATTTAACAACAACACCAACAACATCTAGGGAAGGCGGCCTGTGAGGTCAGGGCAGCTGGGTAGCCATGTTAGGCTCCTGAAGGTGCTTTCCTGCTTCTGTAACTCTCTTCTGATTTCCAAGCAGCTGCCCCCTGAGGAAAGTGCTGTGGCCCAGAGCCGTGAGGATACACTTGGGAGCAGAAGCCCGGAGTGCCTTGCAGGTGAGGTGCTGACCCATTAGCTGAGCCCTGGACGGACCCCTTCCATGACAATGTCCCTTTGGGATTTGGTTGCTTCCATTGTCACTGGGGGATCCTGGTAAAGCGCTGTTAATGTGCTGGACTGCAAGGTCAGTGGTTCAAACTCACCAGCTACTCCTCGGAAACCCTATACAAGATTGTTAAGCATCGGAACTGACTCGAAGGCACTTAACAACAATCGCCACTGGGGTGTGTCTAGGGTAGCAGCAGGCACTCTCTCCCCAAAGTTGGTCTGACTAGAATTTTCTAATGCAGTTTGTGCAGCTCCAGCACATGATTTGGGGCAGGGGGAGGCATACTCAGAGCCTTTCTTGGTCATTAGGGTAGGTACCTCGGAACCCTGGTGGTGCCACGGTTGCTAACCCTCTGTGGGAGAAGAGACCAAGCAATCAGCTCCCTACTGTCACATTGGGTCCCTGAGTCAGAATCAAGTCATCATCCATCTTCAGCACGGAGTGGGTCCTGGGGAGGGCTGTTCAAGTCTTTTCTGCGCACACGCCCTCCCCGCACAGACACTTACACGGCTTCCGGGTCAGCCATGGCAAGGGTAGGCTGGGCTCAAAACGGCCACAGCCATAGCCATGGGTGCCTGGCAGTCATCAGGCAGGGGGCATCCAGTCCCCACCAGTGCCAGGCACTACTTCATTCAGTTCACTGTGCTTAGGGTCTTTAGGTGTCAGCATTATTATTCTCATTTTACAAATGAGGAAACTGAGGCCCGCGGTCACATGGCTAGTAAATAAATAGCTGAGGCAGAATTCAAATGGAGGCAGCCTGGCCCCAGCAAAGCTGGATTAGCAAGGATGCCCTCTCATAGGCCCTGAGGCCCTGACCCAGACAGTGCTTGGGTTGGGGAAATGTAGGCATTATGGCTTTGGCTTTTGTGCTTTGTTGATGAAGCCACTCTTTGGGGTCACAACCACGACAGGTCGCACGTTGTCTGTTCTTAGGCCCAAGAGGTTCCCCGATCTCTTCTGCCAGCTGAGCCAGGGTTCAGACGCTGTGGGGGCTGCTGCTACTTAGTCGAAGCCTGCAGTAAAGGCTTGTTGTATAAAGCAAAAATCTATTTTTATAAATTGAGATTTGGGGATTGTTTAAAAAAAGGGGGGGGAGGGGGAGGGGATGTCTGTACCAATCCAGTATTTATGTAGGAGAAGGCAAGTCAGTTATAGGGAGGATCCCAGCAGTGAACTCAGCATGCTCCATGAGCTCTGGTTGCTGGGTTCTTGGCCCTTGGGTGAGGGTGGTGGAGCACCCAGGCTCAGAAGTTAGGCGTCAGAACACCAAGCAGCAGGCTCCAAAGCCTATGCTTTCTGCACTGCATGGTGGGTGCCTTCAAAACTAGGTGTGTACACTCCAGCTCTGGTAGCTGGAGCCATTCAGCTTTGCAGACCCGCACTCCTCAAAGTCAGGAAGCAGTCCCATACCCCACATGGGCGGCTCTGCTGAGAAAAAACACTGTGAGGTCACTGCGGTCCAAGGTCTACTCATCGACTGGCCTTCAGTTGACCCACTTTGCCCCAGGTCTCCTCAGTGGCTACTCCATTCTTTCGAAACTCTTTGTCTCTGCCTCCTGGCTCAGCCTCTTCCTTCCCGTTCGCCCATCTCTCTGTTCAGCCAACCGGACTCCTTGATAGCTAGACCCTCACCATCCTGGCCCACCCCCTGCTGCCTTCTATCAGTGTTGCTTCTTCCTGTCCCCTGAGTCCTGTCCCACAGCAGACAACTCTCTGGTTTCTATAAGGACAAATTTACACTGAGCTTCTGTTGTTGAGTGCTGTCGAGTCAATTCCGACCCATAGCGACCCTGTATAGGGTTTCTAAGGAGCAGCTGGTGAACTTGAACCACCGACCTTGCAGTTCAAACGGCTTTGCAGTCTGGTGCATTAACTCACAGCGCCACTCCAGGAGCTTTTATTAAGGACAATTAAAAACCTGGAAACCGAGTAGTGATGGCTATACAATATGGTGAACAGAATTTATGTTGTAAAAATGGTTGAAATGGCAAATGTTTTGCTTTGTAGCCATTATCATGTGTATACATTGATATCTCTGCTACCCTATTTTCAGTCTTGTAGGTTTGTTTCATTTTAAGTACTTCTATGCTCTGGTAGCATAGTGGTTATGAATTGAGCTGCGAACCGCAAGGTCAGCAGTTTGAAACTACCAGCTGTTCCACAGGAGAAAGATGAGGCGTTCTGCTCCCGTAAAGATTTACAGCCCCGGAAACCCTGTACAGGGTCGCTATGAGTCAGAACTGACTCCATGGCACACAGCCACCATGCTTCTCAGAAACCCTATGTAGGGTCAATATGGGTCGGAATTGACTCAGCTGCACTTCACAACAACAACAACATATCTGTATTGGAGTCCTGGTGTGGCGCTGTGGGTTAATGCGTCAGACTGCAAAGCCATTTGAACTGCAAGGTTGGCGATTGAAGCTCACAGGCTGCTCCTCGGAAACCCTACATAGGGTTGCTATGGGTTGGAATCGACTCGACAGCACTTAACAACAGATATCTGTATTAAGTTCTGGGTGTTACTGTCATGAATGGTAATCTCAGGTTGTTGTCTGCTATTGTTGGTTCTCAGTCCAAAGAACACCCGTGTTAGCGTTGTTTTTTTTTTTTTTGCAAAATTGGTTGGGTCATTACAAATTGCTTTCATTTTGTTTATCGGGAAATGTCTTAATTTTGCCACCATACTTAAGGGACATCTTTGCTGGGTATATGATTCTTTGTTGGCAATTTTTTTCTTTAAAAAGTTTTGTATATTCCATCCCATTGCTTTCTTGCTTGCCTGGTTTCTGCTGAGAAATCCGAGCTTCGCCTTATTGGTTCTCCTTTGTAGGTAACTTACTGCTTCTCCCAAGCTGTTCTCAGGATTCTTTCCTTGTCTTGGATTTTGGAAAGTTTTATTATGATATGTCTTGGTGATTTTCTTTTGCGATCCATCCTGTTTGGGGTTTATTTCACTTCTTGTGTGCTTATCTGCTTGTTTTTCATGAGGTTAGGGAAGTTTTCTTCCAACAACTGTTTGACAATTTTCTCTGTGCTTGTCTCTTCCTGTTCTGGAATTCTGGTCACCTGTAAGTTGTTCCTCTTCATGGTGTCCCACGTAACTCTTTTTTCATTTTCTTTCCTGATTGCTCTAACATACTAGTATTAAGAGGTTTATCTTCAAGCTCACTAATACAGGCTTCCATTGCTTGGCATCTACTCCTTTGCCTTTTCAATGTATTGTCCATTTCTGAGATCTCAGTATTAATCTTCTGGATTGCTAGTCACAGGTTTTGTATTGTTTCAAAATTTGCATTTGTTTGATCTGTTTTTTCTTGTAGTGTTTTCCTGAAATTTTCTAAAGTTTTTATTGTGTTCTTGCTTTTCTCAGTCTTTCTATTGGTCCTTTGAAAGTACCAAATTATCATTCTCTAGAATTCTTTTTCATTAACAACCTGCGATATGCAGATGATACAGCCTTGCTTGCTGAAAGTGAAGAGGATTTAAATTATTTACTGATGAAGATCAAAGGCCACGGCCTTCGGTATGAATTGCATCTCAATGTAAAGAAAACAAAAATCTTCACCACTGGACCAATAAACAACATTTTTATCAACGGAGAAAAGACTGAAGTTGCCAAGGACTTCATTCTTTTTGGATCAATCATCAACGCTCATGAAAGCAGCAGTCAAGAACTCAAATGACGTGTATTGCATTCGGCAAATCTGCTGCACAAGACCTTTTTTAAAGTGTTGAAGAGCAAAGATGTCAGCTTGAGGACTAAGGTACGCCTGGCCCAAGCCATGGTATTTTCAATAACCTCATATGCATACAAAAGCTGGACAATGAGTAAGGAAGACGGTAGAAGAATTGAGTTCTGGTGTTGGAGGAGAATATTGAAAGTGCCATGGACTGCCCATAGAACCAACAGATCTGTGTTGGAAGAAGTACAGCCAGAGTGCTCCCTGGAGGCCAAGATGGCCAAACTTCATCTCTCATACTTCGGACATATTGTCAGGAGGGATTAGTCACTGGAGAAAGATCTCATGTTTGGTAAGGTGGAGGGTCAGAGAAAAAGAGGAAGACCCCCAGTGAGATGGATTGGCCAAGTGGCAGCATCAATGTGCTCATGCGTGGATCAGGCAGGGTTTCGTTCTGCTGTGCATAATGTCACTGTGAGTTGGCACCGACTCAATGGCACCGAACAACAACAGAATTTTTTTTTCAGTTAAATCCACTACTTTTTCTTCCTCAGAAACGTCTTCTGGCTATGCATCTTGGTAATGTGTTTGAGCCATTCTCTCGTTTGAGTAAGCTAAAATTGTTTGCTGTCTCCTGGGCGTTGTGAGGTTATGTTTATAAAAAGAAACAGTGCAGTTGTTGGATCCAGAGGGTAGAAGTCCTGGGGGATGGTGGGCTCCTGCAATTCAAGGAGCTTATGAGATGGCTGTGGAAGGGATGTGACAGTAGAGTTCCTGGCCCTAGATGGAGTTCCTGTTGGTCTCAGTGTTGTCTAGATTCAGGGCACTCAATCCGGAAGTAGTTCAGGGAGGCCCTTGATGGAGCTGGTTTCAGTATCTGTTAGGACCACAGGTGACTGGTTAAATGCTGGTCTGGTGACTCTGAGGGTTTTGTGGGTCTGGAACAGAGCCCACCTGAATCCAGGTACCAAAACAGCACACCAAAGTGGCACAGCTGGCCCCCACCTCAGGCTGGCATGGATCCCAACCATGTGATCCAAACTCCTAGAGAGCAGGATCTGTGCTGAGGGTGGATGAGGGTGGGAGTTAGCCATACTTCTGGTCCCAGGGGAGCATGAGGGAATACAGGAAATTGCACCTTTTCCGTTGCCCACGTGAATTTGCTCTGCCAGACCTTCCTCCACTGCCAAAGCTGCTCACAAGACTGTGGAGCCACATCCGGCCAGCTGATCACCAGTCCCCCTCTCTCGTCATCCCTGAT